CACAACATTGTAAAATGATTATAAATCAATAAAAAATGTTAAAAAAATAAAATAAAATAAAAATTATTAGAACTGGAAAAAAAAGAAGTGGTATATTTATACAATGGAATACTATTCAGCCATGAAAACCGACAACATAACACCATTTGCAGTAACATGGATGTTCCTGGAAAATGTCATTCTAAATGAAGCAAGCCAGAAAGAGAAAGAAAAGTACCATATGAGATCGCTCATATATGGAATCTAAAAAAAAAAAACCCCAAACATAAATACAAAACAGAAACAGACTCATAGACATAGAATACAAACTTGTGGTTGCCAAGGGGGCAGGGGGTGAAGGGACAGACTGAGATTTCAAAGTGTAGAATAGATAAACAAGATAATACTGTATAGCACAGGAAAATATATACAAGATTTTGCGGTAGCTCACAGCAAAAAAAAAAAATGTGATAAATAACGTATATGTTCATGTATAACTGAAAAATTATGCTCTACACTGGAATTTGATACAACTTTGTAAAATGACTATAACGCAATAAAAAAAGTTTAAAAAAATGTTTAAAAAAAAGAACATGTATCAAGAGCAAAAATCTTCCACAGGAATTAAAATTTTTTATGTTTTCATAAAAAGAAAAAAAAATAAAACAGACTCAAAGCCTGCTGTGCTTCAATGCAACACAACAATGGGCCAAGTGAGAAGTAAGGCCCAAAGGAAAGGGGGAGAGGGGCCCCGGAAATTTGGAGCCAAAGCATTCCCTAGCGAGCTGTACAGAAGTGGGCCTGTTACAAACCTCTCTTGGCCCCAGCAGCCCCGTCAAGTAGACTGACACCTACCTCACATGGTTGTTGGGAGGATTAAAAATAATATGTGTAAAGCATCTAGCACGTAGTACTAGTCTACAAAGAATAATTATTGTTATTCACAGATATGCAAATTATCATTTCTCAAAGAGACAGGAGCCATTTTCCTACACACCAACTCCTCAGAACTTGCAGTGGGTATAAGTTATGAAATCTAGGATCGAAGTTAACAGGATTTTGCTATATGGTTTTGAGAAGGTTTAGGGTTGTCTCAAGAATCTCTAATGAAAACGAATATATGTATGCTCACATATGACTGAAGCATTGTGCTGTATACCAGAAATTGACACAACATAGTAAACTGACTATAAAAATTTTAAAAAAAATCTTCAATAAAAAAGGTAAAAAAAAAAAATCTTCCAGAAACACTAAGAAATAGTCCTATGGCTCTTGCTCTCAATAAAAATTCCTTTAAAAAAAGAAAAGAATCTCTGGAAAATCTTTAAGAAGAGAAAATCCCAAATCAGAGGCAGGTTCAGAGACTCCACTTCCGTGTCCTCATGCAGTGGAGATACTGGCCAGGAATGCCAAGCAGACTCCCCATTGTTGCAACCCATTTGTGAGTTTGCATGAAAAGTGATAAACAACATAACCACAATCCTGGCCCCCTGGAATAACCACAGGCATCTTTAGTGAGAAGGCCATTATCTAAACTGCCTGGAATCCCTGCCTCAAATCTTTACAGGAAGACACAAACTCACATTGGATCACCCGGGAATGCTGACTTTGTTTGCTAAAGCCACACCAAATGCGTCCCTGAATGAGGGAATTGACAGGACACCTGTCTCTGCATTGAAACCTAATTGGAAGCAAGACCAGCGCCTACTATTCTCTCAGGAATCTTCAGTTTCTAAACTGTTTAGTCCTTGGTGATTCAGTCATTTCCATGGCAGGGAGACCATCCTTGTCTCTTCTAGTGACCTTCGATCCACAGCACAGCAAGGATACTCACGGAACGAGCTGCCTCCCAGAGAGGTTTGCTGGGGTGGAAGGACCTGACAGGAACTGAAAATGCATCCCCATGACACCAAAAAGAAATTCTTCCTCACCTCCTGTCCCTGATGCTGTGAATTCTACTCTGGTAGCAGAGTGTCAGGCAGGCAGCATCCCAAATTCTTTCATGAAAGGACTTCTTTAAAAAGAGGGTAATATGTGGAAGAGGAGGGCATAGCTCAGTGGTAGAGTGTGTGCTTAGCATGCATGAGATCCTGGGTTCAATCCCCAATACTCCCATTAAAATTTTTTTAATAAAATTTTTAAAAAATTTAAACAACTAGAAAAGAGGGCAACAGTGGGGATGGTTGCACAACATTGTGAATATACTAAAAACTACTGAGTTGTACACTTTAAAGTGGTGACCATCATGTTACACAAATTTTATCTCAAAAATAATTTTTTTAACATAAAAAAAGAAAACAAGAGAAACTCAGCCTTGGGAAGCCTGAAGGGGCCATCTCAATCCCAGCTCTAGGTAGGGAATCTTCTGCACGTTGCATTCTGCTTCATAATATATCTGTATTTGTTGTAATGTTTTAAGGGTTAAAGTTATTTACCAGTTAAAATGCTTAACCTTTATCCCCTCAGATAGTTAAATAAAATTGATACCCCACAAAGATGTGCTTTACTTTCCTAGGGGTCTGGAGAACCCTGTGGCAGCACCATCGCATGAGGGCTTGAGAAGCATCAGAAGCCAACCAGGCTTACCAGGGTGTGCTCCCGGTGTGGCCCTGGGTGTGGTTCCAGCGCCGATAAAAAAAAAGAGTTGCCTGGCATTCTAGTACACAAGGAAATTCTTCCTGCCTTCAAGCCATCAGCCACCATAGCCGCGCCCAACGTGGTGCTTTGTGACGGGAATTCTGGATGGAGAAAAATAGGATACTGGCCTTAGATAATTAAGACGCAAATCTGAGAAATGATTTCATTGAGCTCAGATTCTTGCATCTTCAAAAAGCACTAAAATCATTAGCTTGAAATGTCTTTTTGTGCAGAAATCTTTTGATGTTCAAATACGTGTTGGTGTTTTTTCAGCAAGAAAACTTCCATATAGCCTGGCTCCTCCCTTACCTCTTTGGAACTGTTCCTCTGAGATGTGTGAGAGGCTGCCTTACCAAGCTATAGTCCTCAGTAAAGTCCCAGAGAAACACATGGCCTGCAACTTTTAGACTGTGCATTTTTCTTCAGTCGACAGTCCCAACGTGCGATTCCAAGATGGAGATCCTTACTGTGGGTCCTAGTTCCATCAAGTCACTCAGGACATTCATTTCTTCTTCTCTTGTTGCGGGAAAATGTGCTACAGCTCAGTTGTGACAGCCTCCTGGATCCAGCCGAGAGACCAAGCAGCACGCGAACACCCACCAGCCCAGACAAAATAACACTTCAAGCTCTGGACGCCGTCTATAGGCTTACACAGGCCTTTTATAGGCTGCCAGTTTTATATTTTGCAACATCATATGCAAATAAAGTACAACCGAAGTTGACCAACCAGGAACAAGCTTTGTAGAAATAAACCAATCAGGAGTGCATTCCATGCAAATGAAGTACTACAAATGGACCAATCAGAAGTTAAAGTAATAACCAATCAGGAGTGAAGGAAAGTGAGCTCAGGGAACCAATAGAATTCTAGCTGTAAGCCGCTTTAGAGGCAAAAAGTGAGATAGAGCCTCTGGGCCAGGGAATCGGACGGTGCGAAGAGGAGAGCAGCTGCCTTGCATAGGGGTCCTGCTGATCTTTTTATGGGGCTTCACGCCTCACTGTTAAGTTAGGAATCCAGCACCTACTGTACCATGAAACACACCTAAATTTTTTTAAAAATATATTTAATGTCACAAGAATAATTGGCAAAAGACAAAACAATAACACCCACAACAGCCCCCAAAACACCACGTACACAGACATTCATGCTCACTAGGTGGTATCTCCAGCTTTGAGAGCTTATCCAAGGCAGGAGGCCTCCCTCAGGTAAGCGAAGAGCAAACATTTAGTGGAAGGTTTCGAGGTGAAGCAAGAAAATAAAGCTCCTCCATCCAGGAATGGAGCCGTGTTGAGGCCAAGGTCAGGGCAGACTCCGCAAGATGGGAGAAACGCCCTGTCATCAGTGCAGATTCAAGCTGTATGTCAAGAACAAAATAAATGTTTCTTTTTGTGACAGTATTTCCTTTCATAGATCCACTGGTAAAAGAAGTCACTATCCCAAATGGAAGACATAAGTCAGATGACCCACATCTACCCTCACCCACCAAACAAGAACTCACCACGGCCTAACGTCTCCTCCCATGTCTAGTGTGCAGAGGACCAGGGCTCAGCTCTACACGTGCACCTGGAGATGTGGGCACCTGAGTGAGGAGACGAGCAGGAGAAATACACGCTTAGACCTGGGCAGGAAAGGGACCCCAGGCCTCATGGGGGTCTGCTCTTTCAACTGCCTTCTTGGAAATTTCCTGAGTCCCCCTCCAGGCCCTAGAACTGGCTGAGGCCAGCAGTGCTGACTGAGAAGGCACCTCAAGCACAGACTGGGACACAGAACTCAGTACCTGTTTCTCCCTTTCTCAGCGCTGATTCTCCACTCTGAATGTGGGATTGCTCAGATGCCCCAAAGAGCTCTGGGACACATGCCTACGTGCCACCAGTTTCAGTGGCTGGGCCAGTAAACCCCTCTTCTTATTTAGTACAATATTTCTCTGGAAGATCATGCGAGATTGGGCCCCTATATAAAAGTAAAATTAAATTAAAAAGCAAGGACACAAATGAACTACTTATAACTTAGATGACTGATTTCTTGAATATGTGTAAGTACATTTCACTGTCCTTTACAATTGGATTACCTCATTCTGTTCATTTTTTTTTTTGTGGTTGGCTGTATTCCTTTAATAACTATGTAAGTTTAAAAAGCTAAAGCTCTAAACTGTTCTTAGAAACAATGATCAGTACACATATGTAAACTAAAAAAATATGTGCTGTATATTGTTTACAGGTATTTACATGCAATATAATGTATATGTGCAGTCAAACTGTAATAATTCTGCCCAATAAAATTGAAAAAAGGGGGGAAAGATTGGGCCCCTAAAATGGTCTTAACATGCTGATTTGGGGTGACACGTTTTTCCCAGAATTAGTTCAGGGCTCATGCATCAGTCCTCATCCCTCCACGTTCTACCTATGCCGTCAGGGAGCAGCAGGTGTGGACGCTACGTTTTCTCCTGCTGCTGGCACCCAGAGAAGCCTCTCAAGCCCTCACAGGCTCCATGCCAAGTGTCCAGCAGTCCTCGGGGTGGTCTCACCTACATCCCCTGGAGCCTCTTGAAACTGTTACTTTGCAGCACTGGCGAGTCCTTTAATGGACATCCTCTCTTGCCGCCAATTGATGTGGCAACATTGTCCTCCCCAGGGCCAGTCCTCAGCCACCACAGAGGACAGAGGCACATGCCTTGCAGAATATCATGCTCTTCTCACTCCACTCCCAGCCTCCCTGCAGGCAAAAGTGTGTCAATATTGAAATGTTACCAAACGCAGGTTCGTGTGCCCAGTGCACAATAAGGCCAAACAAACCGGAACATCAGAGTTTGGAGCAGGTTTATTGCAGGACCAAGCAAAGACAGCAGGTGGCTCATGCCCCCCAAAAAACGCCGAAATTCCTGAAGGGTTTCAGCTGAGCATTTTTAAAGGCTGGCTGAGGGAGGGGCATCCCAGGGTCTGATCAGCTGTGCACAATTCTCTGATTGGTTGACAGTGATGGTGAGCAGCCCTTAGACACTAGAAGGTCTGGGGGCTACATTGCCCTTGGTCATCAAGTAATTAATTTCTTCCATTTGGTGGTGGTTTTTAAAAACTCAGGAACTAGAAATGAGATACTATTATCTGGGTACTTCACAGAGGAGCTACAGCAGAGGATATAGGGGAGGGGTCTTTCCTGGGAAGGCCCCATAAGGTCCTGCTTGGTTACAGAGAGAGACCACATTGTAGGAAGGCAGTGACTAAAGCCTAAAAATTTCAAGAGGAGACATGATCGGAAGATGGGTTCTACCTTCATGTTATAAAATTCCAAATGGTAAAGGTAACAAGACCAGAAAGTTAATCTTTCTCATTTTCCTGTATAGTGCAAATGAGATCTGAATTTGTGCTCACCAGCAACAAGGCACCACAGCATTGGAGAGGGTCATTGGACACCAGGACTCACAGGTGGCATGAGGCGGATGCAGCCTCGTAAACAACGATGTCACCAGCCTTAAATAACAGGGATCAGGGAATCGCAGGGACAAGCAGATCTATTTTGTTTCAGTACAAACAACCACAGCAATGGGGGCAATAACATTACCACATTTCCTCATAATGAGGGGTATGAAATTAGCCAGGAGTGGTGCATTTGACAGTAAAGAACATGAAGAGATAATTCCTGGACCTGAACAGGGTGTGATGGTGCTGGGACACTACAGAGTCTTCCCATGCACCAACTGGACAATAAATCCATAAGTGCTTCTTCTCCACCCTTTTTTCTCTATTGCCAACAATCAATCACTCTATCACACGACCCCATGGATTTTTAAATTCTTCAAAATTAACTTAATTTAAGTTAATTGCAATTATTTGTCTTAGTCAAAATGGTTTATATAGACAGTTTTATGAAAAATATTTGCTCAGGGCCCTGCACACCCTAGAGGGTCCCTGGGCAGGGGCGCATCTTTCTGAGGTAGAGGAATAGGGTTTGTGGGAAAGATGAGCAGAAACATGCTTGAGAAAGTAGCTTCAAACCTGAAGACAGGAGAACCTGGTTATGAGTGGGGGCCTTTGTCTCCTTCAAGTAATCTTTGTTAGCCCCCTAAAAGCCTCCCCAAATACAATAAAATAAAAATTTTTAAAGAAAAATGAGCAGACTAAAGGTTTTAAAACTTTAGGCTAATATTAACAGGAAGTATAGCAAAGTAGTGAAAAACAGTAGTTGCTAAAGCAAATTGCCCTGTTTTCAAACCTTACCTCCACAATGTGCAGTCACGTGACCTTGAACCTATCCGAACCTCAGTACTCCATTCCTGTAAAATGGGGGGATAACAGTATCCTGCACCAAGGTACTTACCGCACAATAAGTGTTCCATCAGTGTCAGCTGCTCTTATTTGCGGAGTGAACTAGCCAATCACATGCAGTAAAAAAAAAATCCTAGATCAGCTTCCATAAAACCAGTTAATTATCCCATTTACCTTTATATTTAGAATACTTTGATTTTTTTAAGTTTTTTTTAAAGTTATAAATCCTCCAGTTTAAAATCATACTCTATCTTAATAAAGATACGCAAAAAGCAAATGAGTCCAGACTTAGAAATGCTGTGGTGAAATGGTAGAATTGCAGCAATAAAGAGAACATCTTAAACTTAAATCCAGAAAAAAGGCAGATTGACTACAAGGTGATGGCATTTGGAGTAATAACAGACTTTTCTGGGACACAGTGGAATCACATCTTTAACGTCATGATTGAAAACAGTCATCATTCTAGTATTCTATACCTAAATATTCTATCATTTAAGAATGAGAGTCAAATCTTTTTATTTTTTATTTTCATTGATTCTAATGCCTTGGCCCCCCAGTCAGAGCATCACCTTAAACCCCTTCTACAGGGAAACTGGCACCCACCTATGTGACTACAGAATTGAGAATGCCTCAATCCACACTCTGGAATGAGAGAAATATACATGTTTATGAGATATTAAATCCAAATACATCTGCCACCTAGCCTACAGTAGCTGATGAGTAGAAATGATGTGATATTTTATACACAGTCACACCCCAAATATGGATGCTCCAAGCCCCTATGCCTATGATTAAGAAGTCCCATTCTTTGCTTCAATAATCCCCCTAAACTTTTCAGGTATCTCAGAATTTACATATGAAACCCAAATATACCTAAATCTACCCATCTGTGGGTCCTAGGTAAGGTCCTGTCCTTCCTGAAGGGCCCAGATTACCCCACAGACACACAGAACCTCTGCCTGCAGCCCCTCAGCTCTCGCCGTCCCTGTGCTCCCTGACCTGCCACCCTCTGCCAGGCTCCCTGGTGTACTCATCCCTTCCCCTCTGGAGTCCAGACTACCATTTTCTGGCTTATTCCAGGCCACCCCCAAACCACTGTCTCCTACAGATCTACAGCACATCACCTGCCTCCAACCTCGGCTGCTCCGTTCTCTCTCTCTCCCCAGACTGGGGCTGCCTTCCCTTCTGAGACCCATTTCTCTCTCACTGCTGTGTGGGCTCCAAGTGATACAGCTGTGAGCCCCATGGTTCCCAAAGGGCTTTTTCAAGTCATTTTGTTTCTGCTATACATTAACCACAAAAGAACTAATTCCAAAGCAAAAAAAAAAAAAAAAAAAAAGACAATTATGTGAAAAATGGCTCAGAACCATGAAATAGATGCTGATTATAAATATAGGCTTTAGGCATTATAAAATGAGGCAGCTCTAAATTTTCAAAGAACAAAGAGAAAGCAAGAGGATTTTTTAAATATCAAAAGGACTTTCAGGTTATAATTAGTAAATTGACTAACCTTTTTAAAGGTAAGAGTGAATTTCGAAAGCCTAAGGCATTCATGGGATTATAGAATACTGTAAGACTAGAAGACCGTCTCTGCCAAACTTCTCACTTCACAGGTGAGAAAAACAAAAGGTTATGTGACTTTCCCAAAGTCACAGAACAGGTATGTGGCTGTCAAGATACGAAGCAGGGCTCCTAGCTCTCTTTCCACTCAGTCTACAATAGAAGCCGTGCTCACAAATGGGTGGCAATCCCCAGAATTACATGGATAAATATATGTTGGTGGTGGTGATGGTGGTAGAGGAGGTGGTGATGACAGTGGTATGCATATGTGCTGGAAAGTTGAGAATTAGGAGACAGTTCAAGGGCAGCTCCAAGACACGTCAGCCAAGGCTGAGATTCAGTTATGACTGGGTATCTCTAACAAATTGATGGACTGAGGACTGGGATGCAGCAAGTATAGGCAAATCAATTAGCTGTATCTAGAAACAAAGGAGAGAACCAGTACAGCAGCTGAGCAAGCAACCAGGTCATAAGAACTTTGCAGCATGGGATTTCTCTGTGCATTGGGTACTTCCGGAACGGGGTAACCTCCTGACAGTGAGTCTCCTCCAGAACACAGGTTGTAGAAACCCATCAGTATTTGTTGACTGCCTCTTCCATGCAAGGCTTCCTGCTAGGCCTTGGCAACACGAGGGTAAGCAGGAACACAGGACAAGTCCCTGCTTTATACCTGTCCTCAAAGGGTTTTGATTTGGGGTTTTGTAATGCTAAGGGAGTTGCCTGGCTGAATAAGACAATTTGCCCAGGTCCTGCCCGCCTGTCCTGGGGTCGTGGTGCAGGCTGGAAGAAGCCTGGGTATCTGTTGCAGAGAAGTCCACGTATCATTGAGAAGGCCTCACGCGCCATCTGCTTTACAGCCCACAGTGCCATCATGCAGTAGACACCTGTTGGCACAAACTAAAACAGAAGCAAGAGCCGCTTTGAAGCCAATGTATCACTTCTGGTCAGGAACTCAAAGCACTTCCTCTGGGTGACTGTTGTGCTGAACCAATGCAAAGAAAAGGCTCTTGAATCTTGAGGTTCAATGGACCCTTAGTGATCAGCTTTCAGGCCCAAGTTCTCACCAATCTCCTCTGTAAGATCTCTGACTGATCAGAATTGTGGAATCAATGACGCCTCTAGACCCACCCCCTCAACCCCCTGCCGTTGACCCACACCCCTGATGGGCTCTGCTGAGTGGGGAATGCATCTTCATTTCTACAAGAGCCTGATGACGATCACCTATTGCAGCGACAGAACAATTCAGCTCATTACCTTGTCCTGGTTTTGAGTTCTCCCATTCACACCCCGCACCCCGACCTCTATTCCGAGTCCTCTCTATCCCTTGGGAATATTTTTCTTTGCTTGCCTAGTTTGATTCTTCTCTCTCGTCTGGTCATTAGGTACATCTTCATATGGTGTAAAGACACTCCTGGCACGGTAACTGACTGGGAATTGGCCCAGTTCCGCTTGTCGGATGGTGAGTGTCTGCTCTCTGCAGAAACAGGCGGGTGATACAAGAGTCGGCACGTGTCCTCCTCCCTAAAGAACTCAGCAAGTGTTAGTGGCTGGCGGCTCTGTCTTCTGGCTGTTATTCTAGTGTTGAACCTACTCCATTCCCTCCAGGAGGGAGACAGGCGAGGAAATGTTTGTTAACAGCCACAGGCATGAAAACAGACAGAGAGCAGGGCGTAGGTACGAATGATTTCTTCCACATCCTTTCCTCCTGTGTCTAGAGAGGACTTGGTGGATCTTGGTAGCTCCTCTCAGAAACTGGCAGGGGGACACGTGCAGGGAAGAGAAAAGAGTGCAGGATCACACTTGAGGTTCTGCTGACTTTAGAGTTTGCTTTTCTTAGATTCCCTAGAAAAGTAGAGTTTGATTACAGTGTGTAAATCAACTTACTATAATACATCACTTCACTTCAGATTTCCCAAAACGGAAAATGGTCTCAATGTTTATCTCAGTTTCACATCAGTATCAGATTCCAGCCATGAGATCAAAGCATCTTCTTCTCCGTAAATTGTGGGTTCTGATTTTTAGGGTGGGGGGAGCATTTTCAGGTTGTAGCCGTAAACTGATTACAAACTTCCAATCATTGTCATCCCTATGTGCGTAAGTCAAGCTCATCATTGAAATTACCTCAGAAGATACAACTCATTACTTTTTTTTTTTCATATTGAATCATGCAGTCATGGAAGTTTAGAGCCAGTATGCTCCATACTGACAAGCCACTGCAGCGGTTCCCAAATACCAGGTTTGGACGGAGCTGGTCTGTAAACAAATTTTCATTTGTTCTCCTCATTTCAAGGTGAAATGAAGGAACTGAGGGGTATGTGTCTCTGTCAAGAGCCTATTCAATCTTATTCTTCTGGTATTAAAATATCATTTATAAAATAACAGAGCTAGTAGATGTTACTGTTGCATGTTTTCTTTCTGTTATGTTCTTATTGGCAAAACAAAAGCTGATAACCTTGGAGCACCTGCAAAACTTTCTGTTAATTGAGCCTACGGTTCACTGCCACCCCCCACTACCAGGGGTTACACTCCCACTCTACAGAGAGCCAGCCTGATGGGAATCCGGAACAGGAAGACTTGTGAGAAACGGGACACTCTGCTCAGAAGTGTTCAAAAGACACCCAATTAAGGTCCAAGGCAGAGCTTTGCCAAGACCCAATTTCAAATAAGGGTTGTGATTAGGGTTCATGAAGGCATATGTCAGAGCCATCCATGTCTGTCAGTTCATTCACACATGAGGATCAGGATATCTTCATAAGAATCTGACATAATTCCAACTTTGAAAAATTGCCAATGTAAGATTCTGAAAGATAAAAATAATTAGGATGTTTGTGTCTTGCAATTTGATGCATTTTAATGATTAAGAACAGTGCAATACTAGTGACTGAACTGTCAGATTAATGGAATAAACAAAAAGTTCAGAAGACCCAAGCACACATAATAATTTAAATTTGACAAAGGGGATATTTTTTAAAGTGAAGAAGACATGATTTGTCAGGTAATGATGTTGAGACAACTGGGTGATGTTTGGAAAATAAATAAATTGATAGCATTCCTAGCTCATAGCTAACACCCTCCCCTCAAAAAATCTAGACATATTAAGTATTCAGAGTTTAAATCTTTTAAAAGAAGTAATAGAAAATATGGATAAACATGTATGAATATTGTAGTGAAGAAAGCCTTTCTAATTATGACACCAAGGCAGAAATTACAAAGGAAAACGTCAGACATACAAAAATTTAAAATCTCTATAGGAAGGAACCTGTAAACAAAATTAAAAGGCAAAAAGTAACACATATGACAGTGAATTAATATTTTCAACATATGTAAATGTCTAATATATAATATTTTATGTAATTTTAATTTATAAGCAATATGAATGTATAAAAGCAATATGAAGCAAATGAAATATAAAAAGATAAAATCTCTAAAAATCAAAAGTAAAATGAAGAAGCAAACCTAATTATATATCCATTGTGTAACATAAACACAGAGTAACTTCACTGTGTGAAGTGATTTTAAAACACAGTAATTTAACTGGGCACCCCCAGTGAGAAACACCCTAAGGACCAAAAAACTCAAAAAAAAACAATAATAAATTTTAAACTGTTTCCAATATTCATATTGTGGACAATAAAGTTGGTTTTGCTGTTCTGAGACATAATTTTGATGCTAAGAGCCAAGATTCTTGGTGTGGAAGAAAAGAGATACAAATAGATCAATGAAATAAAGTAAAAATCCTGTAGTCCTGAATTTGAATGGGAAATATCAGTATGAACTTACAACACATTCTCTTACTGGTATTTCCTACCTCTGTCCACTGAAAGGGCTTAGAAGCAGTAACAAGACCAGTAGTAATAAGGGGCCCCTGCACCCAGGTTGTGTCTTTAAATACTATTTTCTTTTAAGAAACCAGAATTCCCCCAGAGAAATGACTAATTTCGGGTCTGAAGCATAAAAGATACTATATAAGCCTGGGGAACCCTTCATACCAGATAGCAAGGAAGCTATCAAACTACTAAGACCATTCAAAAGGATTCAGGAACCAACTGGAAGAGGCACCCATTGGCCAGAGACAGAACAGTTTCAGCATCAGTAAGGATAACAGCTGCCATCAATTTCAACGCGTGAAGTGTATTTAAATGCACGCGTTCCTATAGTACCCGTGGAGGATCCTAGGAAACCGTCTCATTATTTTGAAAGGGGAAAGGAACCCTTAGCTTCCTTACCTATATAAATTGTATCTTAAGGCAACCAGACAGTTCTATTTGGAGAATGCCTCCTTACAGACGTTTTCCAGCTAGTTAATGTCAAAGGAATGATAGACTATCACAATTTTGGGAATCTGTAATCAGTAGATGGATTTAGGCAATGATCTGAGGATATATCATCAAAGCCATCACCAATACCATAAAAAGAGCGAACCAGACCTATGTAGCTCCTGCTGGAAGTGCACAATGCCACCTAAGTGCCTTTTCAAAAAAAAAAACAGAAAAATCAAAAAAGTTGAACCTGATCAAGTATTTAGATCTAACTACAAATTTACAGATAGTTCAGGGTAAAGAGGAATGCTTTAAACACCATCACAGTAATACAGTCGGCAAAAGCCAGACAAGGGGGAATTCTACAAATTCTACAAATAACCAGATTTCTTCAGCAACAAAAAAATAGTATTGTGAGAGATAAAAGGGGAGGGGGGCGAGGAAGGGGAGAGTAGAGAAGAGAAATCTCTGGATTAAAAGAGGCTTAAACACGTACAGGAAAATAGAGGAAATGTGAACACTAAATAGATATTGGATGATGTTTTGAAAATATCACTGATTTTTGTTTTAGTATGGTGATGGTGGTGGTGGTAGTGTGGTTATTTTGAAAAGGAAGTGTATTTTAGAGAAACATGGAAATATCTGTAGATATAATGATATGATTATTCAGGAGGAGATTGGCAAGAGATTTGCAGAAAATAAGAGTCATCACGGGTTGATAATTGTTAAAGCTGAGCGGTGCAGACATCACTCATTATGCATTCTAATTTTATATATACTTGAAATTCTCCATAATGAAAAGATAAAAAAGCAGCAGAAAAAGTTAATTACATCAACTGAGGAAAAAAATGGGCTAAGAATATGATCAGGTAATTTGTAAAAGAAAACATAAAAATAATCGGTATGAGAACAAAAAAGAATCCTACATTAGAAGGAAACTAAAACATGCAGAATCTTTAAATGGTGAGGTTTCATTTCTCACCTAGCAAGTTGTCCAAACATTTAAAGATGAACGATACCCCCTAGTGGCAAGGGAATGTGAAAGCGAGCATCTCAAACATCACATTCAATTGGCTCAGGTTTTCTGGAGAGCGTTTGGCAATATGTAACCAAAATCCCCAAAAGGACACGGTAAGGAGCCAGGGCTCCAAGTCCAGCTGGCCAGGTCAGATCCCAGATGTGTCACTTATAAGAGATAGGACTCAAAACAAGTTTCTTAACTGCTCTGTCTCAGTTCCTAGTCCTAAAATGACTGAAATAGGAGCACCACTTCGAAGAGTTGCTGTGAGTTTCAGTCAACGAATGTCCGTGAAAGACTTGGACCGGTGCCTGGCACAGAGTGCAGGCTTTCATTACGATGTTGGTCCAACAACCTCACTTCTAAGTACTAAGGAAACTTAATCAAGTGCAGAAAGATGTATATACACATTTACTTATCATTCCATGATTTATCAAAAACCCAAAGTGGAAATGCCTGGTTAAATAAATTTTTGTAATATTTACCTTGTAATACTATATGGCCAATAAATACAATTATGTGAAACAAATGTACTGATGTAGGGATGTTTATAATTATTTTCAAGACGGAAAATCAAGCTAGGGAAGAATAAATATAGTTGAACCCTAGGAAGGAGACATGTATTTTTTTAATCAGTGCATGCATACCTAGTAATTGACTCTGTATTTGGGGGTTATTAAAATTTATTTTTCTTTTTGATTATCTGTGTTTTCTAATTCTTCTACATCAATTTCATTGCTTGGACACTTTTTAAACAATTTAATATGCTACATGTTGTGATGGTTAATTTTATGTGTCAACTTGCCTGGGCTAAGTGATGCTCAGGTAGCTAGTAAAACCTTATTTCTGGATGTCTCTCAGGATGCTTTGGGAAGAGACCGGCATTTGAATCAGGAGACTGAGGGAAGAAGCAAGGCTGGGCATCATCCAATCCACTGAGGACCCAAAGAGAGCAAAAAGGCAGAAGGGGGAGGAAGGACTATGTAGCTCTGTCTTCCTGAGTTGAGACATCCATCTTCTTCTGCCCTTGGACGTTGGAGTTCCTGGTTCCCGGGACTTCAGACTCCATGACTGACAGCAGTGGCTTTCCCGGTTCTCCAGCCTGCAGACAGCAGATCATGGGACTTCTGGATCCCCCATAATTACATGAGCCAATTCCTATCATAAATTTCCTCTTATCTGTATTTATGTCTGTATCTGTATCTATGTCCTATTGCTTCTGTTTCTCTGGAGAACCCTGATACACCTATGTTCCAAAGTTCTTATAAAACTTGCCCCCAAAATGTAAATGTATTTGAAAGTTGGGAGAGGTAAACAGCATAGAAATGCAAAACTAATACTTCAGTCTCCAAAGTAGATGGAAAAACAGATTTGGAAACATAGAACTTAATACTGAATATTCAGGAACAGTCATTCTCATGGACGAGTATCACCAGCGTGTGTGTGCTCGTGCAAAACACATGTGCACTCATGTCTGTTTCACTCGGGTGCCCCTGAACGCAGAGCCTGAGGCAAGGACTTGGGTCCAGGTTAATCTGTTTCAGAGGTGACCCCAAGAAGCAGAAGTGAAAGAGTGAGAAAAATGAAACAAGAAGGGGAAAGGCCAATTAAAGGGGGAGTTAATAAATTGTAACTGCTGGAGGTAACCGGATTCACTCCCACGGGGGACTCTCTGAGAAACTAGGGAATAAACCTCAGAATGGTCCCACCAAAGCACAGGGAGCCTGGGGCAATTACTCACCGACTCCCACTCCCCCCTTGGGTGTGGGCTGCCCTGGTGAGGTCAGCTCTCTGGCACTTTCAGGTTGTACCTGCAAGTAGCCTGTGCAACCTCCCACAGGGTCAGAGACAATCCTGAGGCCAAAAAGCAGAACCCCCACGGTGTACATGTGATATGGGGGGCTAGCATCAGCAATGTGCTCAGAACTGTGGAAAACCAGAATGTGGCAAGAAACCCCACAAGCATGCCCAAAGCTTGTCACTTGGAAAACATAATTTTGTTGGCAGAATCCCGAGAGGAATGAACCCCCAGCAGCGCTCCCCACTCACTGCCCCTCCCTCCCTCCCCACACTGCCCGTGGGTGTGACTTGGTTGTTCAAAAGGTATGAGATACACAAAGGGAATTTATCCCCGAACGGCCAGGACTGGGCCGGCCCCACTTCTCACAGAAGGCCCTTCATAGACAGTGCTCTAGCTTCACTGAACAGCCTGATACCATGATATCCCCAAGCCTCCACCCATCAGGTCCCCTTTGCATTGCCTCTCCTCCCTCACCTCCACTGGTTCCTCCTGCTAGACCTTCAGGGCTTAGCCCAGGTATCAGGACCACCCAGGGAGGAAAAGAAGCCTGGATGAAGGACTGGGGACAGGGAGAGACCCGAGGTAGTGGAGAGAGATAGATGAAGCAAGACTGGCCACGAGTTGAGTTGGTAACAGTTGAAGTTGGGACATGGGTTCATCACTCAATTCCCTCTACTTGTGGGGCCTGGAGGCACAGAGCTGGGTCTCCCTTTAAGGAAAAAAAAATCACACTTCAACTAGGTCTCACTCTCCTGGGCTTCCCCAACCAATGGCCAAGCAGGGTAGGGGCACGAAGTCCTGGCCATTTCTGCCCATCTCTGGAGCTCCCACTGGGTTGGCAGAGATGTCAACCGTGGTGGCCTGGGACTCCCCCTACCCATCAGGCTCCCTGCTCTCTCTCTTCTCGGAGGTCAGACCTGCATTGCGCCTGAGGGCTTCCCCTGCTCGATCAGGCTTCCTCCCTCAACTTTCACAGGCAAGACTCCCCAACCAACCACCTGCATCCTAACTCTATCTCAGCGACTGCATCCCAAAGGCCCTAAACCCACACGGTGGAGATACAGATGGCTCCAGACCCTGCTGAAGGTCCCGAACAATGAAGAAATACTAGAGGGTGATAAACATCATACTGTATTTAAACGTTCACATATAATAAACTAATGCTTTTTACACTTAAAAAAACACAGTGTTTACATACATATAAACCTAATTTTAGAAATCATATCAAAAATTTAATTTGTGGTCCTTTAGGGATATGAGGCCCCAGCCAAGTAGCCTCCTTCCCTCTCCACCATGGGCAAGCCTGGCCAGACATCAACTCCGGGAGCTCTTCAAGGTCTCCTCCCACTGCACTGGGAGGCTCTGTCCATGTCCCCATAACATCCTAATCTCTGTCACTAGATCACGACCCCGTCTTCTCTGCCACCCACCTCTGCCTGCACCCCAACTAGGCAGTGAGAGGACCTCAGTGAATGGCTTTGGATCAGTCACTGAATGATTGGAATGACTGACTGAGGCATAAGTTCCCAAAAGGACCCCATAAAAGATCCATCCCCACCATGTTCCTGCAGGTTTACAAAATGCTCCGGAGTGAAGACCAAGTGTCTCCTCTGCCTGGAGTGAATGTGGAGGTGAAGGAAGGATCCTGCTCTGGGGTCCTGTTACAGCTCCTTCTCCAGCCTGGAACCTGGGGGCACACCAGACACCCGTGGCACTCAGGCAGGGCCCCTCACAGGAGGCAGGAGACATCACATCCGTCTTCTGCTCTGCTTCTCTCCAAGGCAGAAGACTTCCTGGGTACTGGCGAAGGCGAGAGGCCCAGCAGCCCCATCTGTTGGGGTGGGCCCTGAGCCGGTCCCAGCTAGCCAACAAGGTTGATCCCCTGGCGGCCAGGCTCCTGGGTGGGGTCACCAGCCAGGGACCCTTGGTTGACCAGGGCTCCAAGAGCTAGCACCAAACTCCTCTGGGAGCTTTGACAGGGGCTTCGGTTTCTCTCTCTGGTTCAGGTCCTGGGGGAGATCTTCCAAGGAAGAGATCTCCAAGTCACTGTCATCTTCAGAAAGCTGCAGGGAGGAAAGGGGGAAACGAAAATGCATCTGACGAGGGAGGGTGGTCACTCCGGTTGGACACAGGGACAAAACGCAGATTTGGAAGAAAGCAGTTAGGGGGACGCTACACCTCCTGCCCTCGTTTCCCTTTGAGAACCTGCTTCTGAGGCCTGGGGTCAGAGAGATGTCAAACACCCCTGACATTCCACTGGCCAAATCAACGCAAGCTCCTCGGGAGGGCTGAGAACAGATCATGTGGCTCTGACTATAACTTAAACTTTGTCCAGATTTTTTAACTCCCTACATTGGTGGATCTGGAAGCCCAGAGCCTCCACTTCTCCGAATCCCGAGCTGAATGCACCCACCCCACCTGCCACAGACTGCTTCTCCAGGGCCTGGGAAACACTCTGACCACAGAAGCAGGAGGGGAACTCCCAATTGCCAGAAGTCCTTCAGCCTGGAGAGGGTCTGGACCAACAGGGAAGCCCAGAGAGGGCCAAGGGCCTGAGCTGTCCCTGAAACCACGGGCACCCCTCCAGAGTGCTCAGTGCCCCTGCTGGCACAAGAGGCCCAGGCCACCTGGGCTTTCATACACACAACCTACACGTTTTCCCCTAGAACGTAAGGCCAGTCAGTCAGAAACCACCAGGGCCTGGGGTGGCCAGCACTCTCTGCGCAGGGCCTTAACCTGCTTAGGGCTGCCGGGGCTCTTTCACAATATGGGAAAAGGGATGAATAATTTTTAAAAGAGTATTTGGGCTCATTACTCACAAGTACACATGAGCTGCATAACAAACCAAACACATGATGGAGTAAAAGGTGTTGGGGGAGAGACTGTCCACTATTTCTGAATTTTAGGGCCATAGCATAGGTCATCCCCGGAGGTGCCTTTTTGATTGAGAAAGGACTGGAAAGTTGCAAGAGCTCTAAACGTTTCTGCCTAAGAAAGTAACAGGAATATGGAAGTTACCCCGATGGGGGTCGGGGCAGTGAGGAGGATATCCTAACCGTCATGGCCTGGAAGGCTGAGCATCTGGGCCCTAAATCTGAAGGCAGTTAGAGACTGAGAAAGGCAAGGCCATCGAGACATTCTTAGTGATGAGGAGTGGCCCTGAATATGTAGAACAAAGGGGTCTGGATATGCCCACCGTGTGCTGTGTCCTACTCTGACGTGCTGTGTGATGCCACCCCAGCACCCCGCCCTTGCGGAGAACTCTGCTCGCCTGCAGCCTGGCGCTGGGGTCCTGGGCTCCATCAGAGGCAGAAGTGGGAGCTCAAGTGGCCAAAAAAAACAACCCCCTGAGCAGCTGTCTGTATAATGAATCACAAGGCTTTTTAATGTTAACAGGGACACAAACAAGCAGCACTGGAAAGTGGCCCTCCCTCCACCGGGGCAGAGGCAGAGGAGGCAGCGAGGTCACCTGCAAATGTCACTCTAGGGCCAAGGCTGACACTTGCTGGACCCTCCCCAGCCCCCAGCCCTGGGCCCCCGAACTCACAGCTGGCTCTGGAGGAAACTGCAGGGCAGCCTCCAAGGTCCCCCATCCTACCTGAGGCTTCCCTCCAAGTGCGGCATCCCTCTGTGGCCCAGCATCGGGCATTAAGAACAGACTGATCCCTCCAGCAGGCTTCTTGGCCGGTGCCTCCAGCTGCTTCTCGAGGTTTTTGACCAGAGACTGCACCAGTGTTCCTGGAAGGCGAGCAGAGGGAAAAGCACAGAATACGAATGTGTCATCCTTATGGGCCATGTCCAGGCTCTGGTGTGCAGGAAAGGAGAGCGGAGAGGGGTCAGAAGGAAGTGAGAAGAGCACTGCAAAAAAGAGGGGCAAGGAGAGAGAAGGCCCAGGCTGATGTGTGCGGGACAAGAGGGTTTGAATGTCCTGAAAATGTCCTGTGCACTTAAAGACACAGCTGGGGACAGGCTTAGGAAGGGGCCCTTCCCTCTCAACTGGAGGCTGGGCAGGAACCCCTGCTCAGTTGGTAAATGAACTGCAAGACTAATGTGCAGCTCCTCCTTCAGCGTCTTCACGGAGAAACAAAGAAAGATCATAAATATAAATTAGCACAGGTCTGAGGGCTGGACACACTTTCCATGAACTCTGTGCAGGAAGGGGGCTGGGCAGTGAACTACATTATCAATGGGCTCCTGGTGACACGGTAGAGCAAGGTGGACGTCCAGACCACGGGACTGGCCAAGGAGAGGGAGCCGGCACTATTTATAATAGCCATGACATGGAAACAACCTAAATGTCCATCGACAGGTGACTGGATGAAGAAGTTGTGGTATATTTATACAATGAAATACTTCTCAGCCATAAAAAAAGAATAAAATAACGCCATTTGCAGCAACATGGATGGACCTGGAGATCATCATTCTAAGTGAAGTAAGCCAGAAAGAGAAAGAAAAATACCATATGATATCACTCCTATGTGGAATCTAAAAAAAATAAAATAAAAAGACACAAATGAACTTACTTACAGAACAGAAACAGACTCACAGACATAGAGAACAGACTCATGGTTACCAGCAGAGTAAAGGGGGTGGGAAGGGATAAATTGGGAGTTTGAAATTTGCACCTCTTGGGGAGTGATGGAAATGCTGGCATTCTTGATTGTGGCAGTGGTTTCAGAGGTGTACGCATCTATCAAAATTCATCAAATTGTACATCTGAAATATGTGTAGTTTACAGAAATTATACCACAATAAAGTTGTTTTTTTTAAAAAAAGAAGTGGGAAGCTAGCCAAGGCCTTCCAGGATTCAAACGCCTGAGGCGGGAGCAGACACCTGGAGCAACAGCAGCCCGCAGCTCACCAACCAAAAACTGTTGGTTAAGGGCCTACTCTATTCAGGCACCTCACTCCTCGTGACTCATCAGGCCAGATGCCTCATTTTACAACAGAGGAACCGAAACCCCTCACACAAGCACATGCACATCGCCAGCCATAGAGCCCAGGCTGTGTCCGAGGACTCCTGCCTCCTGGCTTCTAGACGTTTCCACCCTATCACCCCGCCTGCCAGGTGGTCAGTCCTTCTCCAGAGATCTGCTTCTGGGGGTTTCTGATGGACTGGCGGCCCGGCGCACACTGTGCTGGGACACAGCACTGCAGGATCCACGTGGACCGTGGACTTTGCGGGCTGCACGGGCCTGGGCTTACACCTCAGCACTCACGCATCCTCATTTTGGAAAGACATCTCTCTCAAGTTCCACATTCTTTAAGTCTTAACTCAAAAATGCAACTGAAACCAGGATCTTGCAGGCCTCGTTAATAATTTTATAAGAAAACCTTCCTCACCTGAGGAAGCCAGCCCACCTGAGCCCTTGCCAGAGGAGTGGGTGCTCCCCTTCGAGGTCTCAGTGTCAGACCACTCCCAGTCATCCTGGGGCCAGGGCCTCATTCTCGAAGGAAGTCTCGGAGGCGGGAGAGACCCACGCGGCCTGGAATCTCCCTCTGAGTCCTCTTCAGAACTGAAAGGGGGCGTGCTGCTGGGGAGAAGACATGCAGAATGCATGGGTCAGAAGGAAAATGTGAAAAGCCATACCTGCCCACTGGCAAGCTTGTCTGCTTTGCCCAGAGCCAGGCTTGCTCCCTCCCTGGGGCCTAGATGCCAGTCAGGAGTCACCTGGAGAGCAGCCGCCCCTCCAGCTCCTCTGGGAGGAGATGAAGACCAGCCCTTCCAGGGTGGCTACTGGGGCTTGGGCACAAGTGCGTAAGGGGAAGGTAGGTGTGTCTTGGCTGGGAGTGGAGGACCTCGGGCTCTTCTTGGGAGTTTGGGCTGGGCCCGCCTGAGCGCCCCTTTCACTTCTGTCCGCCCCTCACCTGTCCGTAGAAGCCTGCGGGCCTAGGACAGGGCTGCCTGAGGTGGGAGCCACGCCATAGGTCCGGTGAGAGAGTGCAGAGCCCAGGACTCACCTCAGCCTGGACCCTGGGGCAGCCAGGGTGCCTGAGGGTCTGGAGCGTGGAGCAGGGGTGGGCCTCCCAGGGGGTGTCACAGGTGGCTCTGCCGGCTTGGATGTCACACGCAGGGTGCTGACCTCTGGCTGGGCCTTTCTGGTGACGAGTGGGCTCTCCTGGCTTTTGACTAGAAACAGGTAAGAACGAGATTCAGGGCATACCCTTATGGGCCATCATGCCTGAGAGGACGCAGAAGGAGGCTCCGAGATGCCGGAGATGGGCCTTTCACTCTGTTGCAGGGCCACTGTCATCATCACAGCAGACTGAATCATCTCCCCCTCCTCGGGCGTCCCACTGCTGCACAGACCTAGGGCTGGCACTTGAGGTTTCACCAGAGACCAGGAGAACAGCTGGTGTTCCGCGGTCACGTCCAGGATGCAGCAGGTCTGAGGAAGGGCCCAGCCTGTCTGCAGCTCACCCCGACACAGTCCTAGAAGCGGACCTGGCAAAGGCCACCCACCCTCTCTTCTCACCCCACCTGCAGCGGCTGGAGAGCAGGCAGCCTTGCAGGAAGGCCTGGCTGCCACCAGAGGTCGTCGCAGGACCACCTGGACCATCAAGATCCCCACACACCATCCTCCCTGACCTCCACGTGTCGCAGGAGCGCTTAAGGCAGACAATTAGACACTGCCACTTCATTCCAAATCACAAGAAGACCCGGTGAGGGGGAGAGGAATCCAGGATCAGCAATTTTTTATGGGAAGAGGAGACAGAAGAGGAGAGAAAGTGCATCACAGGGAGTCCAAGTAAGTACTGTCTCACGCAACTCTTACACCTGTGGACTGTGTAAAATGCACCTCTTACTGTAGCTCAAAATCAAAAACATTTGAAATGCATGGCTTTCAGAGAATGCACGGACACAGAAGTGGGCCTTCCAGGGAAGGGCAGGTGAGCTTGCTGAAGGACAAAAACAATAGTAGCTACAACCAAGGTGCACAGACCAAGCTAAGCACCTTGCACACAACATCCACTGAACCCCAGACAGGCTTCCAGAGATTCGGGAACTTGCTCAAGACCCACGAGTCCATGGAAGTAAGTGGTAGATGCAAACCCAGGTTGTCCGCCACCCAAATCTAAGACTCTTGACTTCACTACATCCCACAGCTTTGCCCCAAACAAAAGAGGCATAGTCTGAGTGGAGACGGGAGGTGAGCATTCACACAGCCCTCGTGGGGCCTAGAAAGAGAGCATGGGGGCGCAGAGCTGGAAAGAGGCCTACGAGATGCTGAGGAAACACAGTGCTGGCTCACAGGTCAGTGATGGGCCCCAGAGACAGCAGGACCCAAGGCCAGGGAAGGGGAGACAGACAAGGGGGGTGGCTCCCACTCCAGGCTTTGGGTCCACAGGAGCAGGGCTGGAGGGGAGGGTGGCACCTGCAAGAACAGGAAACCTTTCTCTTCTCCTGGAAACCAGGGCTCAGAGGGGGTTTCCATTCATCTTCCCTGGGTGGCCGTCCCTGTCCTCTGAGCTCCCACCACCCTGTGCTGGGCCCCATCGCATCACCTAGTCCTGGCTGGTTTCCAGCTGAGGTGGGGCTCCAGCACAGATCAACCTCAGGAAGCACTGCACCAAATTAAATGAATGTAGTGGTAAGATGGATGACCATCAAGGTAGAGGGCTCTGTGAAAGGCAGGTTAGCAACCAAGACAACGCCCTTCTGTCTGCGAATTCTGTGCAAGACTAAAAACTGTCCTTTCCTTAGCAATTTTTAAGACCAGACGTTTAAACTAAATAGGACGGAGTTTTCCAGATCATTGACACAATTTTTACCACATTCTCATACCAACTGTCCTGTTCTCCATTTAACATTTTTACATAAAATGACACCACTCTGAAACATGAAACTCATTTTATACTTATCCAAGTAATCATTTCCATGAGTTAGTAATATTTCTCCAATGCACATGAAAAAAGATTAAATCTTAAAATTATTATTTCATGTACCAACTCAAATCATCTCTCATATCTCCAGAGACGTGTGGCCCACACCCTGGAAATATTTCTTTGTGTCCAGAGCTCAGGTTGGATCTGCCTGGACTCGAGGGCGTAACAGAAGTGGCCTCCCTCTGGCTGCCTGTGTCAGTGACGGGGGAGGAGATGAAGTGAGAGGAGCTAGGACAACACCCTGCATGAGGATCTGGGAACCTTCTAGAGACAGGGGGCTCCAGAACAAAAGAGTACAATTCCCTGGCTCCCTATGTCCCTTGAGGACAGAGACTGGAGGGTCCTCACCCACACACTTAAATCCTCTATGAGAACCACAGGGCCTTTCCTTGTCACAACCCCCAGGGACAAAGCAGCAGCTGAACCCAGCCCAGGGAACAAGTCTGAGCCCTGAGGATTTGTCCGCCTACAGAGTTGGCCCAGCCTCCCACGTCCGCCCATTGCACCAAGCAGAGAATTCGTCTGACCGAGCCGAGCCTCCACCTGCAGCTCCTGCCCTGACAGCCCGTACATACACTCAGAAACTGTATGGGCTGCTCTCTGTTGAAGCAAAGTTCAACTTGTGGTTCATGCCAGTAAAGCAGTGCCGAGCTAAGCGAGTGAGGCGGTGCGCCTGCGCAGGGACAGTTCGAGGCTGCCCACAGCTCTGACCCTGGCTCTCCTCCTCTTCCCTGAGGGACCCAGGTATCCACCCCACCCCCAGACTCTGCTTCGTCAACAGAGGACTTTTGGACCCAGCCACCCATGAGGACCCTATCATCTGGCCCTTTAGACCACCACTCCAATGGGGACAGGGATTATGTCCCACCTGTGTGCAAACAAGCCCATGCCCTCCTGGGTCACAGCCCAGAGAAAGCCTTCTTGCCAGCTCACCTGGAGCCTCGCTGTCTGGCTGGGAAACTGGGGCCTCACTCCTTTGTCTCTCCTTCAGTCTGCTGGTGGCTTTTTGGATGAGCTTCTTCCTCAGATTCAGAAATTCTGAAAACTTCCCCACCTTCTGCTTCCTCTGGGTTTTCAGGAGGGAATCCACGTGTCTGAAGGTCTGAGCAGGGATTCCCTTTGCATCCTGGAAGACAGAGGGGTTCCCTTTGGAGATGGGAACCTCTTGTCCCATCCTTGTCCTTTCCTAAGCCTCTCAAACCTGCTGCTGGCCTGGAAGTCACCATGATCAGCGCCAGTGCTTCTGGGAGAGGATGAACTGAGCATCAGAGACAGGCAAGCAGGCTGCTGAAGGCGTGGTGGGCAAAGGCTTGGGAGCCCCCAACAAAGTGCACACAGCAGGACAATGCAAAGAGGCTGAGCACAGTTCCACCAACAGCAAGCAAACAGGCTTGACGGGCCATGCCTTTGACCACCGGAATTGAATCCTACGGTGGGAGACCACAACTTGCTCCTTCTGGTACCCCAGGCACTATTGTTATGCCAGACACATTGTCCACTGTGGCTAACAATGTTTGAAAACATCGACTGCAAAAAGCCAAAGCCAGGCACCCTTCCAAGAGCTATTATAAGTTGCTTGGGGTTTTGACACCCACTCAGAGTCCATGAGGAATCATTCAAGGTTCGAAAGAAATGTTCTAATCAAGTCTGGATGTGGGGCCAAAGTTAGACTGAAGAGCAGTTAAGAACAGTCAGTGATGAGTGAGCATCCTTGCTAAATTAAACTAGGTGCCTTTTTTTTTTCTCTAATCTTACTCTATACACATAGTATTTTTGATGATGTGCTGCTCAGCTGCTTTGTTAACAAGGTTTTCTTTTTAATAATTTATTTCATTAATGCCATTAATGATAACGTGCATACTCTGGTTAAACACAAGCAAGAGAGAACAAAGGTGTTCAAATACTAATCTGTACCAGACAGAGCTTTCAGAGTCTGCTCCACCCACAGCCACCTGAGTGGGCGTGGCCACGTGTGCCACAGATGATGGGCACTTCACCCAAGGGACCCCGCCAAAGGCCAGACTGAGCCAATTCAATTCCCTATGTCACAGATACATGTATCACTTTCCTGTACACCTGAAGCTAAAACAACATTGTAAATCAACTACACTTCAATTAAAAAAAAATTTTTTTGCGCACTTGACGCCTTTGAAACACTTAGAAAAATTTGTATTATGAATTTTAGATTTGCTGTGGCTTTAAAGCAATACAAACCACGCTCGTATTGCATTTTGAATTATCTTAAAACTGCTGAATTTGCAGGCACTTCCAGTTTGCTTTTTAAAAAGTTAAAAATTTATTTTGCTGTTTGTTTTGTTCTCAATAAATGCAAAGCTTTTCACCGATTAAAAAAAAAAATTCCTCCTGTCAAAAGAGAGGCACAGAAGAACGTAGCCAGTGAGTGGAGCGCATGCAGCGGTCAGGACACAGGCATCTCAGGAAGCTGCTGGAGGAAACAGAAGAGACCACACTCTCAGCTGGGCAGGCTGACATTCTCAGATACCAAAGGTGTCCCAACCGGAACAAATAAGATGAGTAAGCTTCCGATGCGAAGGACAAGTACCCCTTGCTGGTTCAAGAGATTGGTAGGTGCCAGCCCTGCCACAGCGGCCCCGGAACTCACTCTCTTTATCCCCATGGTTTCCAGCGTCTCCTGCAGGGTATCCTCCAGGACTGGGCTTAACTGCTTCTGCAAGGTGGACTTTTGCCTGGGGGCTGCTGCCACCTTCTGCTGCCCACTGCAGGAGTCCCTCAGCTCTGCAGCACAAGACAATCACCAGGTCAGCCTGGGACCCTGAAACCTCCACCCCCAAAGCCCCACTGCACCCAGCTGGCCCTCACTGGGCCAGGGATTCTGGTCTCCGGCCTATGCACCCAGGGCCACAGACCCCACCCGATGTCCATCCCCAGGTCGTTCTCCTCCTGGGAACCAGGGCAGCAGACCCTCCATCCACCGTCAGGATTCTCATTCCCTGCAGGTCTGGACCTCCAAGGTCTGGCTCAGTCCTGTCCCAGGTTAACTCAGAGTTTTCAGGCTTCTGACTCACACTTGGACCCTGAGAGCAGTTTGTTCCCTGGGTTCCATTCTCCACCCCACTACGAACCAGTCTGAGATATAACTGACATACAGCACTGTGTAAGTTTAATTATGCAGCACTGTGCAGCTTACATGCATGACATATATATATACACACATATACGGCAGACAGACACATATATATATACACACATATACGGCAGACAGACAGCTTCCGGCTCCCCTCGAGTTTACTGTCTAAATCAGGGGTTCGCTCTCCAATTGTACACATCAGAACTGCATGGGCTTAGAGGGCACATTCCCTGGCCCCACCCTCCAGAGACTCTGATTCCACAAGTCTGGTAGAGGGCCCTGAAATCTCCATTATAACTTGCCCAGATGATTTTGATGGAGGTGAGCCACAGAACACACCTTAAGAAATACAGAACCAGAGGGTAATAAAATAAGGAATTACAGTAAAATGTGGTGGATAGAGGGTCTGCTGCAGACAAGAAAGTATCAGAATGCCCTGAAGAGTGGGTGAAGACAAAGACATCTGGGCCCTGCCCCTGAAGTCCTAATTCAGTTTGTGTGGCACCGGGCTAAGAATTTGAACATTTGTTTTTCTACTTTGCGTTCCCCAGTGATGCTGCTCCTGCTGGCCATCCTCTACTGCAACAGGATGGGGCCCAGCAGGGGCGAGGGTGGGGGTCTCACTAACTCATCCTTCTCAACCTTCTTCTCCTGGAACTCAGTGTCCCTGTTAGAGGATTTGGTCCATCCCCACTGTGGACCCTGTGTTCCTTAACAGCCACCTCCCTCTAAAGCTCCATGTTACTCTATTCTCACTACTCTATCCTAAGGTTAACACATGGGGTGGGGGTAGAGGTGGTAGAGACACAACTAGGTAAATTTTGGTTCATCCATCCAATGGAATACTACGAAGCCCTGAAAAAAATAATGAAGCAGCTCTATATAAAGGGATAGGAAATGATTTTCCAAATAAGTTGTTAAGAAAATAGCCACAGAGGTGGGGAGGGTTTAGCTCAGTGGTAGAGCGCATGCCTAGCATGCATGAGGTCCTGGGTTCCATGCCCAGCACCTCCATTAAAATAAATAAATAAACCTAATCACCTCCCCCCAAAAAAACAGAAAAAAAAATAGCCACAGAACAATCTGTAGGATGTGCTACCAGTTTTTTTGGGAAAAAGAAAAAGAATGAATACCTGTATGTGCCTGTGTTTGCATAAGTATCTCTGGAAAGATAGACATGACGAACCACTAGCAGTGGAATCTCTGGGCAGAAACTGGATGGCCCTGCAGAGGGAGGCCTACTTCTCACTCTACATCCTTTTGTATCCTTTCTTTTTTTTTTTTCTTTTTTCTTTTTTTTTTTTTTTTTTGCCAAAAGCACAAATTAGTGTCTCAAAAGTAAAGAAAAATACTATATCAGAAACAAAATAAAATACCACACTGATGAACTCTTTGGTGACACAAATAAAAAACCCTTCCCTGGGTGTACCTGTCGGTCGCTCTGGAATCCTCACATCACAGCCTGGCTGGGTGAGCAGTGCTCTCTGATCTTTCCTGGGATCTCCTCCTCCCAGACTCTCCCAGGAGAGTCTGTTTTTTTCACTCCTCCTCTGCATCCCCTGGAGCTCTGTAAATCAGAGTCAGTCAGTGAATGGAGTCAATCAAACCAGCTGGTACCTACAGCTCTTTGGAGGGCGCCTGGCGGATTCCTGCACATTAGTTAGACCCTGCGCAATCTGTCTGCAGCAGCACACCTAGCAGAATAAAGTGGCAAAGGTGATTTGAAACCAGTATAGGGAGGCTGCATCCTCTGCTCTGGATAGTGCCAGATGAGAGGCGATGGGGCCAGGCTATGCATCAGACACCATGCCAAATCCCGACTCTGCCACCTGCTGGCTCTGTGACTCTGGGCAAGTCACTGACCCTCTCTGAGCCTGGGTTTCCCCATCAGTGAACCAGTAAATGCATGTTAGCACCTGCGTGTAACGTGTCTGGCACATGGACGCACAAGGTGCTTAAGAAATATTTATTTCATGTCCCTGATTCCCTTCCCCCATCTTCAGGTAGCCAGACGCAGTTAAGGAGAAACAAACTAAACAGCAAAGGGGGAAGCACCCCAGGAAGAAAATGGAGCCCCACCTTCCTTAGAAGAGTCCTCTTCTGTGTCCACAGCCTTCGAGACCATGTGGATTCCTGAGGAGAGCAGAAGCAGTTAGTGGCTCCAGAGCCTTGGACCCCATCCCCAAGTTAGAGAACAGCAGGGCACAGCACATGAGCGCTGGCCAGAAAGAGGAAGCCCTCCAGTCGGTTCTCTGCCAGAGACAGGCAGGACGGAGACAGAGAGATCAGAGACCACGTCCCAGCTCTGCCACGGTTAAGTCCTTGAACCTGGCTAAGCCTCAGGCTCCTCATCAAGAAAGTGAGGGTAACAATACTGCCCCACATTAAATCACGGGGACGGTGTCATGAGACGACGGATCTGAAGTACTTGGCGAAGTGCACAGCACAGAGCTGTTACTAATAGCACAGGCCCCGGCCCCAGCACTGGGGAAATCAGCCATAGGAACAGCATCTCTTAGAACTGGCTGTCTAGCCTCAAGGCAGGGGACAGGAGGAGATGCTGGGTTTGTAAGAAAGGGCAGGTGGGCCGCTACAGGGATAGGACGAGGAGGTGGGATGAGGTAGGAAAGGCCAGGTTTCATAAGGGGCCAGCAAGGTCCTCCGGGCAGAAGCAGCCCCTGGAGGTCACGCTTTAGACACCAGCATCTGTACTGATCAGACACTCACAAGCACACACACACCGCACCTGAGAGCACTCAAGAGGAGAGAGAGCATGCTCCAAACGGGCTGCATTCACACAGACACACACAGATTTGGGGTCAACCTGCTACATGCTGGAGACAAGGTCAAGTTGGATAGAACTGAATCACAGGCATGGTGAGTTAGAAAGAGCCTGTTCATGAACCCTGCCTGCTCCATCACTCACTTTCCTCAAGATCCTCATCACATCCCCCAACCCAACTCCCCATGTTTCCACCACCCTACAGAGAAGAGCAGGCCAGGCAAGAACCCCTGACAGCTGCATGGAACGCCTTCAACACAAACCTGGGCTGGAGCCCTGTCTGTCCCAGATACAAACGTCTTCTCACGCTTCCTCACCCGGCCAGAGAGCCTGATGCTACAGGTCCCATGAGCTCCTGACACCCTCCTCATCCTATAAATTGACTGGTGGGGGACAAGGGAGAGCAGAAGCCAAGACAAGAGCCATTACTGTGACAAACCACCCAGAACAGACTTACGCTTTGCCTTCCTGAGAGACATGGTCTGGATCTGCAAAGATGGGAAATAGAGCAGGTTACAGGAAGCAGGGATCTCTGCTGTGAGCAGCTGGTCCATAGAGAAGGGACATCCAGTGTTTCCACGCCACCCACTGGGAACCCGAGGGAGCTAAGAGTACTCTGCCTTGACCCCACAATGGCACCATAGCTGAACAGCAGCAACCAGGTTGGCACCACACTCCTTTTTCCCACAGTGGGGAGGCCAGAATGCCCCTCTTCAGAGAGGGACTGTGGTTTGAAGGGCAGGAGCCCCATGCAAGCAGAGGGGGACAGGCACACAGTCTTTACTCCTGGCATAACTGGTGGAAATCAGCCAGGGCGAGGGAAGCTCCCCTCCCTCGATGTGGGCATCTAAGCTGAATGCCCCCTGGGAGGAAGGAGGCAAGAAGTGGACAGTCATTGACTACCTGCCCAACCTCCCTTTTCTAGAAAGTGCCTCTTCTTTCCCATTCCTCGCAGATGCAGACAGGACAGCCACGTGACCCCACACCACAGCCAGAGCTGACTGTCCAGGTTTGGGCGGAGAATTCAGGACTGATAATATGTGAACTCAAAGGCTTTTGGCAGCTAACTGGTTGGAGGTTTGGTTTTCTTTGTTTATTGGTTTGTTTGTTTATGCCACGTGGGACACACATGGAGAGGAAGCTGATGTTCAGAGTAAAAAACATAATCCAAGTAGATATAGAGAAAGAAACAGAGACACATAACAGAGGGGAACTCCTGACCACACTCAGGTCTCTGGTTCCAGTTTATTCCTAGAGTTAGCTGCTCCCCTGCCTTAAGCTCTGTGAGATACCCTGTCTAACCTTCTGATAGATTTCCCTCTTCTGCTTAAGCTTGAGTTGTTTTTCATTACCTACTAATGAATGGCTTATCCAATGTCCATTTCTAACTATCCCTCCTGTGCTCACCTCCATTCTAGAAACTATAAAACTAATTGTTCCCTTTCTAACCTTCTTTGCTGCCCATGGAACACAACTTTGATCAATAAAAGTAGAAGTAGAAGTCTTGGGAAGGAGATTTTTGATCAACTTCTTCCACTGAATATGGTTGTGATGGGTGGGGCTATAGCAGCCATCTTGCAACTATGAGAATCAAGCATGAGAACAGAAGTCAACACGCTAAAGATGGTAAAAAAGAAAAACAGAGCCTGGATTTCCAATGGCATAATTTTGCTGTAACAAAGGCCATCAATTTTCACCTCTTTTGGTGTTACAATAAAAATAAACCTGTTAACCCATTCTGTTATGTTTAGCCAGTGGGTTCCTAACTGAAACATCTGCAAACAAGAGTTCTGGGTAACATAAGGAGGAAACCACCAGACTGGACCTGAAGTGGCCACAGCTGTGAAGAGCTAAGTGTGTTGGGGAAAACAAGAAAAAGAAAATCAGCAGGGGAGTGGGTTAGGTATGTTGAGGGGGTGAAGTACAGCTGGGAGAATAGACAGACACAAACAGCAAGGGGGACAAGAACAGTGGATTAGAGAGTGACAGTGGGTCCTCACCCCAGGGAAACTGTGTGTAGGGTGGTGGCAGAACCATGGCAGGGACCTGAGGCCACAGGAGAGCCAAGCTGGGGACAGATACACTTCTCCACTGACCTGGGGCTTCAAAAGGGGAGCTGAGCCCAGGCTGGGCAGAGTATGATCTGCATTAGTTGAAGAGTCACAGGATCAGTTCTGGGAGGCAGGTACTTAGTGAGTGATGTCTGTTTATCACACTACCTTATCTGACAATCTCATCAGAGGCTGTCAATTTGGGAGAAAGGAATTAGTTAAGAAATTAGGTCTGAGAACACAATGTAAGGAGCACACACTTTGCATCCCACCTGCCTAGCAAAAGTCGAATTTCACCCCTGTCATTTATAGTGTGCCTAGTCTGGACTCGGGTGGGGTGTTTAACTGCTCCAGCCTGTTTGATCATCTATCAAATGAAGATGAAGAGAAGGTAATGTCTACCTTGAAGGGCAGCAATGAGGCTTATATGGAGTAATAAGCCAAGTATCAACCGGCACTGGCACTCATGTTGCTTCTGGTGTTACTGTGAACCTCCTAACACGGCCCCACTACCCCAGGACAACAAGCATATCTTCAGCATCCTCATCACTTTCTGCCCCTCAAGTCTGAGGACTCTCCTCTCTCCCCAAAGAGCCTGATAATGAGATGAGGGCCAATGGGTCCAGAAGAATCTAAGGAGATGGTCACAGGGAAGAGCCCCAGGGCCTCCAGGGCCTGGCTGGCAGGAGGGTCCACACCTACCATCTTCTCCTGGGAGGCGATGAGCGTGGCTTGTTCCTGGAGCTGGGGCTGGAGGGCACTCATCTGGTGCTGAGCCTGGGCTTTCTTCTGATTCTCAGACAGGGAGGCCAGGAGCTTCTCATAGTGCTCCTTCAGCTGGTGGTGCAGGAAGACTGGTCAGTCACATGTCTGCAGGGACCTCTGAGAGCCCAGTGCCTGCAGGGCCAGCACATGTGGGCAAATGCCGCTCGGGGTTTTACCTGAAGCAGGTGGAGGGTTCCCAGACCTCGGCAGGTGGCTTTCTAACAAGAATTACCCTCCCATTTGAGGATTCTTTTTTTTTTCAGTTGAAGTACCATGAGTTACAATGTGTCAATTTCTGGTGTACAGCATAATGTCCCAGTCATACACATACCTACATACATTTGTTTTCATATTCTTTTTCATTATAGGTTACTACAAGATATTGAATATAGTTCCCTGTGCTATACAGAAGAAAATTGTTTATCTATTCTATATATAGTTAATATTTGCAAATCTCAAACTCCCAATTTATCTCTTCCCACTGCCTTCCCCCTGGTAACCATAAGTTTGTCTACTATGTCTGTGACTCTGTTTCTGTTTTGTATGTAAGTTCATCAGTGTCTTCTTTCCATTTGAAGACATTTTCAAGCAGGTCCTGAGAAGTGAGAATTGAATGCAGGCCCATAAATTCACAGCGAAAGGCTCTCTGTCAGGTGTGCCACCCACTGAAGTCAGGTAAGTTGAGGTCATTCAAAAATCACAAAAGGGGGAAGGGTATATCTCAGTGGTAGAGTGTGTGCTTAGCATGCACAAGGTCATGGGTTCCATCTCCAGTACCTCCTTTGAAAAAAAAAACTAAAAAAAAAAAATCATCAAATGCTTGATTTTAGGTGAAAAAAGGTGAAGGAAATGCAGTCACATGCTACCTCTAGTATAGGAGCAGAGAGAAAATGAGACTATGTTTTTGTATAAAGAAACTCTAGAAGGAAACAAGAAAGCAATAAAAGAGGTCACATGTGGGGTGGGTGTCAGGGCACAGGTAGATGGAGATGGGGTGGAAGTGATACTTTGTGTACCTTAATATAGTCCTTCTGCTCTTGGGACAAACTTGGATGTATTTCTCATTTTTAAATGTTTCAAATAAGATAAATCCATCAGACGGGAATTACTGGATTGGGGGGGCATCTATCACGTGCCAGACTCTGATCTAAGCAACTTCATCCTGATCTAAGCAACTTCATCTTCCAAGCTTTCTTCAGGCAGAACCTGGGGCCCTTGTTAATTGGCTTCCTCTTCACAGGCATCTTGATAGAAGCTGTATTCTCTGCGATGAGGCCTGCTGCTGACTGTCCAGTAGTCTGAGTGTCTAAAGCTTTCTGTTTGGGCTCCTGCTGAACCATTGCTGAGGTCCATAGCTACCTGGTTCTCTCCTGAGTGGGATTTCAAAGGAGGGCCCAAACAGGAAAGGACCAGCAATTCTTTGAGTTTTACAGCACAACCCTCCTTGCTGGGTTCAGAAGAGAAGAACTGGAGGCCCCTGCTCCTGGCCAGGGAAGCTGCTTTCCAAGCAGCAGACCCCTCTGTGTATTGACGGGGGTCAGCAGCCAGCAACAAAATATCTGCCAACCAGTATATCCAGAGAAAACCCTGACTTCAAAATTACCTGCACCCCAATATTCATAGCAGCACTATTTATGGAAACAGCCTAAATGTCCATCAACAGATGACTGGATAAAGAAGATGTGGTATATTTATACAATGGAATACTATTCAGCCACAAAACCCGACAACATAATGCCATTTGCAGCAACATGGATGTTCCTGGAGAATCTCATTCTAAGTGAAGTAAGCCAGAAAGAGAAGAAAAATACCATATGAGATCACTCATATGTGGAATCTAAAAAAAAAAAAGAAACATAAATACAAAACAGAAACAGACTCAAAGACATAGGATACAAACTTGTGGTTGCCAAGGGAGTGGGGGGTGGGAAGGGATTTTAAAATGTAGAATAGATAAACAAGATTATACTGTATAGCACAGGGAAGTATATACAAGATCTTGTGGTAGCTCACAGCGAAA